TTATTATATTAAGATTATTATTTGTGGTTTTATAAAAGATTAGTGTTAAACCTCGACCCTTCATAATTTCTTAAGAAGGGGATTGTAGGTATCTTGAAAATAAATTATAATATTTTGCATGCAGGTATATAATAAAGACAGTCTTGTCTCAACTCCCGTGTTTGATTGCCGCATCCTAACAATAAAAAATTAACAACCATAACTCTTATAAAGATTTCGATAGAGACCAACGTATGTTGTAACACTAGTATGTTAGGAAAATTAATAACGATTCTACAGGGATAATGATTTCTTATATTTACGCGAACACTACACATTGATTAAAATTACTTTTACGGATTTTATCGCGTTTAATTTTACTTTTAATTATTTTTATTTTTATTACCCGACGTTTCGGGTGCTTTCCAGCACCCATGGTCACGGGGGACTGAGGTGACTGACGTCCCGATGTCATTGTTAAACCCGGAGTACCTTCAGCTTTTTATGATAATGCATAGATCAGATCATAAACAATAATTAAAAAAGCTGAAGGTACTGCGGGTTTAGCAATGACATCGGGACGTTAGTCACCTCAGTCCCCCGTGACCATGGTTGCTGGAAAGCACCCGAAACGTCGGGAATTAAAAATGAAAATAATTAAAAGTAAAATTAAACGCGATAAAATCCGTGATTCTACAGGGAATTTGTTTAGTACACCCTTCAGAAAAAACAGCAGTGTCAGTGGTCCAGTTACCTGCTTTAACCGTCAAGGTGTCGGAGTCGGTTACCCAAGTTTTAAGTGTCCTGAGCCGATCGTAAGCCGAAGTATCAAAAGAATCCCCCTTACTCCATCGCCATCCAAGATTAAACGGATATGTTGAACGATATGGCTGAACAATTTTAGCATCTCTTGGGTCCACTGCTCATAGTAAGAACAAAAACATGTAGGACGAATTTTTTTAAACGAAATACAATTAGGACTAAATATGACTACTCATACTGAGTTATTGTTGGGGAAAAATCAGGTCGGAAGCGAGTGAACAAATAAAGAAAAATCAGGCGACAAATAAAAGTCGAAAAACATAAAAAATGGGTGGGAATTACAAAGATATAGATATAAATATAGGAGTTGGTTGAGCAAATGGATGAGTTTGTGTATTGGGGAAGTGTATTTAGCAGGAATGGTAGATATGACAAGGATATAAAACTAGGAGCGAACGCAGAAAATGAGTAAATGGGGCTTTACAGGCTATTTTGAAATTCACTATGCTGTGTAAGTCCCAATCTTAATGTATGGTAGTGAAAGCTGAGTTTGACAGAAGAATCACGAGAGTAGAATAAATTAATGTTGTAGATATGCGGTCATTAAGGAGTATGTTAGGGCCTGATTAAACTAAATGATAGGGTGAGAAATTGTTTAATGAGAGAAAAGTGTAGGTTGTAAGATTTTGTGACCATAATACTTCGGTGATTAGGTCATGTAGAAAGAATGAACGAGGAGAGAGTGACAAAGATGCCCTATACGAAAGCTTGCAAAGCAAACTGGCGATATATTGAAAATAGCCCAAATTAAGAGTAATCTTTATCTACGAGCATGTAAGTAGGTACATGAATGTAAAGAGGACGAGAGAGGTGTGTCAAGATCATGCCAAATTGAAGTCCGTAGTCTCTTCCTACTTCTCTAAGTGACAGACGCGAATGTTTATGTATTTTGATTATAAAGAGGGTGATCTCTTTAGGATAGAAAGGGCGAGATTGTCGTCACCGAGTCAGTCAAAAACAAAGGGTTGGAAGCAGTGTCAGGGCCCATATAGGATCTTAAAAAATATCCTTTCAAATCACAGGTTTCTTAAAGAAGACACTCTTTTGAAAATATTTATAATAATTGTTACCATTGTTAAAATATTTCCATAGTTGACTTTCAACGTCTCTGCTTGCTCTTCCAGTAAAGTCAGTGATAGTGAAAATCATAATAGTTCTAATGAAAACTAATTGAAACTAAATATTATTGCTATGATTCGATTGATGACTATTAAATGTATAATAAAGTTTTATATTCGTATCTTATCTGAATTGTATAAAATCGCTGATTAGAGTAGTGAAAGTAGAAGAGATAAAATTATGTATAAATAGAACAAAAATTAGAACACTAATATAGTCTTAGTTTAACTAAATGTTAGGCATAACTAGAATACGTTTTTTTGTTTGTAAATTATATTTTGTTCTTTGACCATTGAGAGTGAGTCAAAGTTGTGTGTTGAATGATGACCGGTATTGAAGAACTTGCCAGGCATAAAAGAAACATGGAGACAGCGAGGACGTTTGAACCGGGCAGGACTCACCGCCCATGAGTGGCTCGAAACATGTGTGTGTTGGTGAAACAAGGAACTTTCACACCACAGGGCTTATATATATATATATATATATATATATATATATATATATATATGATTGAGTGAGGGGGTATTAAAGACGGGTAGTATTGGCGTATGAACTCGTCGCCCATGATTGACTTGAAGTACCGCAGCCGATGGCGGAGTGGCGGTGAAGGAAGTAACCCTCACACGCTAGGCTATAGTTAAGATTCAGTGAGAATGTTGTGCGTGTTGTGTTGTATGTTGTCGGTCATGATTGTCTTATAAACTAGCCACCCATGAGTAAACCATGTATTATGTATTCGTTGTGAGAGTGAAGGAAGTAGCTCCCACTTTGCACAACTGTAGAATTAGACATAACACATTGTACTATGGTTACCACTAGTAATTAAAATTGTGTTACAATTTATTTAAGTTTAGTTAATATTGTACAATATATCAAAAATTAAAACAGTATCAGTATATTCACTTATAAGTTAAGAAGAAACGAAAGGACTCGGTTTTGAAGGATGGCCTACTGTAACAAGACCTTACAGTATTTTTGATACGCTCCCGAAAACTAAGACAGACGATAGTATTAGGGAAACCTTTGATGATGTGACGAAAATAAAATCGATCCCGGTGAAAAAAAAAAGAACACATTTTTTTACAACGTTTATTTAGCTTTATTCACGCTCCATCGTGTTAGTACAGCTAAATTAAACGATAATTTCATTAAAAATGATGATGCCCAAACGTAACCCAGCAGTGAAAATTAACCCTGAAATCAGCTGATTATGGGGTCAAAAATGAGCGGTCAACAAGTGCCCGGTCTTCCGCAGCAGTTCACGGTGAACCTGGACCAGGGCAGACCAGACCTGGGCAAGGGGCTATTCAGAGACCTATTATGCCCCTGGTATTCGGAGGACCTGCTGTTCAGAGACTATAATAGAACTAATACAAAACCGATGTGTATTATGCGGAATATTAATATCATAATTATCGGAGTTCTTGAGTTTATTGAGATACAGGTGTTACAAAAATATATTATGCTATTTAAATAACAAAATGTATGTTCGGATAAATCGGATAGTAAATTGTTTTACTTTTGCCATATGTTAAAAATATATTACTTTGTTATCGTATATAAATTTCATTTAGTTTTAATTACGCCTTTGTATCATCATCATCAGTATCATCATGATGATGATGATGATACTCCTTTGTAAATTTTAATTATTTTTGTGGGATTCAGATGCGTATGGATCATTAATGACGGTGAGCAAGGCAGACAAGTTGATACAATAAAGTAAAGCGTATAATATATTCGTAACAATGCCGAGCATGCACTCATATTTCCTCGAAATTCTTAGTTCTTAGGCAATCTTCCAAAGTATATTTTTTAAATGTTGTTACAAAACTATATTGTGTTGGTGACAATGTTGGAAATAAAACACGTATCATGATAAATAATATCATTTTGGATTATTATTAAACCTAAAACATGTCACTGTTAATCAAAATTATTTCCGGTTGAAGGGTTCTTTTGCTTATAATAATCCAAAAGAACTCTTCATGCTGGTTAATTATAATGGGAATGTAATCAGCTGTCAAAATATTCCAGAATTGAATAAGGAGGTAGAACCTGTAATTTAGACGGCCTCGGTGTAATTTATTCACGCGTATAATTTCATAAGCTCCTTCGAAATACTACGTTTCAAGTTACTTACCTTCGTATATTCGGGTGAAATCTTTTTATCAAAATTATGTTTTAGACTAGCGAACCTCCCCGACTTCAGCTGGATAGCTATTAATGTAGCGTTATCTAAATCTAAAACCATTTCAATTATTAATCTTTCGTTTTTTCCAAAAATTCTTCAAGTTTTTCTGATAAAATATATGCACGATGGTTCCTGGCATTGCTGCCTACCCTTTCGTGAAGTTTTATCGTAATTTTAATGATAGAACGTCCAAGCCCTAGTCCTGCTGGAAGGAGCTTCCGGAAGAACAATCCTAGGGACGTGCGTCCTGCTAGCAGTACGCAATATTATGTGGATTTTTTATGGATATCAGAGGCTGTCCTTCTAGCAGTACTTGACTTTCATTCATAATAAAATTAGGCAGAGGTGACAAACATTCTGTAATTTAGTATAGGTATCTAGGAATAGCAGCAGGCGCTTCTTGATATTACGGGGTAGAAAAATGAACAAAAATATTAAAGGAACTTAGTGAAAAAAATATTTATTAAAAAAAGTTATGCAGGAATTCCATTTGTGATAGGTGATATGGTAGGTGAAGCAGTTTCTTTCTGTCTGTGGAGAGCATAAAATACATCGCAAACCACATGTTTTGCAAAAATAGCTTGCTTTCTGCTGTTTCTTGTGGACTCTCTAACAAACTATACACTTGCGTTGAACTCTCTTTCTGTCATCTGATTTTGACAAGGCTTCAAGAATGTGTTCTCCGCTATGAGGGATGTTCTTATGTGGTGGCGGCTCATTCTCTTGTAGGTTATTAGCGTCATTTTTAGTTAGAGCTAATACCAGGCTGATAGTAAACCATCTGTGAGACACCTGGTCATGCTCGGCGCGGAAGAAATTATTAAAAATCAAATACGCCTTTGTTTCTATAATGCCCAGAACTGAGGCATAAATTCTATGTTCCCATTTATGTGCCCCAAGCTTTCTCTAACGCCAATCCGTTCTGCCTGATGTGATTGTGAATGTCGATAGCTGCAGCACCATCAAAATACTGCTGGATTAATTTAGGCCTTGCGACTTCTCTGAAAAATAAATTTCCTTCATCGTCCCACCTTCTTTTGCGTGATGGCAGGCCTGGCAGTGTCGTTTCACAAGTGGCAACCAATGTATTAGTTTTTTTGTCTTTCCAGCACAGGCAATAAGCTGCACTGATTTTCATAACTGCTGGTATCCCATCTTTGAAGTACGCACCTCTTCCATACCAAGGGAACATGAATTCATCTACAGTTAGTTTTGCACCAGGACGGATGGTATCTTTTAGTTTATTATTCACCATCATTACTAGTGTTATGGTGTTACGCCATTTGTCAGAATCATCAAGGTCTGACGGTTGTGTGAAGTGCAGGGCCACTAGAATGAAACCTTTGACCACTCATTCCAAATCTTTATCCAAAATTTGCGAGATCGTATTCCAGTAGGATCTTGAGTCTGGCAGTTCTTGAAGAGTTATAGCATATAATATACCAAAAAAATTAATAGTTCCTTCTCGTTCAACAGTTTCTGTTTAGGGGAAAACGAAGAGTTGGTACACTGGACTATCTAACTAAGTTTCTCTCTGGGAAATACAATAAAAATGTATCCTTAACACTTCGTGCAAACTCCAGTGGTACTAGCAGGGTAGCTTTGAAATAGTCTTGTTGTCGCTGATCAACACGTATTGCTTCATAAAAAGTCCAGGTGACTCCCTTCACAACGGTTGTATTTCCAGCAGAACAATTTGTTACGCTGCTCATACGCGGAGTCGGATGGACTGAAACAGTTGTCTCGTCATCTTCACTCAAAGATGAAGAGCCCGATTCAGATAGAAGCAAAGGGGTACACGGTATACACATACACACACATATATAATATATATACAAATACAGCCACACTCATATATGTATATACACATACAAACTCACCCACACAAACACGTAAAAAACACTCATACACATATTGAAAACAGCCACTATAACGAGCAATATGGGCGCTTTCAAGGTCAGACTATAGGTATAAACTTAGTTAACTAAGTTCTCGACTGTACATTTGCGGAAATTTTGTGGTGAACCAAAAATTTTAAATCCAAAAAAAATGTTGTCAACCCATGCAAATCATGGTAACGAACAGGCGACCGATCTACTATTTTTTCATTGTAACGTAAGGCTATGAATTAAATAATAATTGGTAGGTACTTTCTTTCAATTTTCTTCATTGGTATTTGCTTCCAATAAATGATCGTTTTCGATATCAGCAATCAGAACTCCAACGGGCATCAATGAAAGTTTTTTGTTAATTTCACAATACACCCTAGCATAGTTGTTTTCTACCTTTCTTACAGTACCCCAACAATAACTTATATCGTAGTTATCACCAAAATGTTTGCGACTCCAGGTGTTCTGGCCATCATTTTCGTCGAAATATGTAGCTCTGACGCGAACGCGGACACCACGTGTTATACTCGCCGCCATTTTGGCCAGACTGATCGCAGAAACACGATTCCAAAACTCGCTGAATCAGAAAGAGACGCACTATGCATGCTTGTAAATTGCGTCCTGATCGCATGCCTAGAAAGCCTCATATAACCAAAAACATTGCGTCCTACCGGTAGTAAGAAAAGTCCTGCTAGCAGGACTCTGGACATTCTATCATTAAGCCGTGCTGAAGACTAGCCAGAAAGACAGACAAAAATTCAATTTAATTTATGTCATAATAACATGCAAAATGTTTAAATAAAATCTGTAAGGTTGACCATAATTGGAGACGTTAAAAATATTTCAAGCAAATGATGCAAAACCCTTGTTGGTTTCATGGTTGTCAATGAGGCTGCATGGCAAACTCCTCTCTGCCCCAAAATACTTTCAGATAACATCCGAGGCCCATACCCGGTATTATATCGACTGTTATATTATTTTATTACTTCTTACCTTTAGGTGGACTTTATGTTCATTTGTCACCCTTATGCCATATAATATATATACAGGATGGAGCGGCGTTAACGGGACAATAAAGTGTTGAAGAATTCGCGAGGTATTTCCACTCAGTGTATAGTACGAAACAGGCAGACTTAGAAGTGAACGCGAGTATCATTAATGCTGGTGGAGGTAACAGGCGTGCGTGCATCTAGATCGCTTAAAACTAGAAGAAGTTAGAGGTGCGCTAAAGCGGTTAAGCCTAAGTCTGCGGTAGGACCGGTTACCATACTTCCCTACGTATTTAGGGATTGTGTGGAAGTGTTGGCTGAACCTCTATTTCACAAGTATAGCCTTTGCATTGAATCAGCGGTGTTTCCAGTGAGGTGGAAAATAACGCGAGTCATGCCGGTGCCTAAGAAAGGTATATCAAGTAAAGTAGAGGGATACAGACCTGTAGCCGTCTTGTCAACACCGGCGAAAGTTGTTAGAGTCTGCTATACATAAGAATGTACTCTCACAGGTAACCGCCCAGCTGACAGATACTCAGCATGGCTTTCGAACACCACGGAGTACCGCAAGCAACCTTCTGAACTACATGTCTGTGCCGGTATATATTGTGCCGGTAGTGGACAGTGGAGTGCGAGTGAACGTCGTTTATTTTGATTTCAAAAAAGCCTTCGACTTGGTCGATAACGACGTACTACTTAAAACGTTGTTTTTATTCCACACTTAGTACAATTGTTTGCTAGTTACATAAGCAACAGGCAACAATATGTGGAATACGCTGGTTTCGTATTGAAGCCATATTACACTCGTTATAGTATGAGTCAAGGCAGCAATCTCGGTCATCTCGAGTTAACGTTTACGTTCCGCTACGCGACGCCGAGAGGCTGCCCATCCTGCGCTCTATTCACGGTTACGCTACACAAAGAAATTGTTCCTTGTTAAGTGCTTTAACTGCGTCCTTTAATATCTTACTGTGCTTACATTTACTATTTCGTATTTCTCTGTATCTTGACTATCTTTCTTATATCGTATTTAATTTAACTCTTCTGTGTGTTGTAATAAACTATTAATTGTATATATGTGGTTTAATTCGATATCCGCTACATATATTTGGTGGTTGGTTGCGTGTTGATATCATGTCGGGTAAGCAGGGGGTTATATGGTGATGTGGCAGCGCTGTGGTGTGCAAATAGCTATGACACAAGTGAACGAGGTCAAGGATTTGGGTGTTCGTTTTACCTCAGAACTTAATTTTTAAAATCATATAGTGGTCATTAGCGGGAAAGCGTATCGCGACTTAGGTTTTATACTGCGCAGGGCGCGTTATTTTACTGACATTAAAGCCATTGTAGTATTATATTACGCCTAAGTTAGGACCCAGCTTGAGTGCAAGGTGGTTACCTGGGCTCCACGTGAAACGAAATATAGTCTCATGCTGGAGAGAATTTAAGACAAATTTGTTAGGTTTCTATATTTCAAATATTATGGAGTATCCTTTTTATTACTACGTGTCTGAGGTCCCCTCACTGCCGCACAACTTGTACACGTACGACACCAATCCTCGACATCGTCACGATAATGGACCCAGTAAAACTGTTCTCGGACCTTCAGTAGAGTTCGTTTAACTCCCAGACGTTTAGCTCCCAGAGAGAGAGTTCGGTGGACTCTTGAACGACCATTATGGCACAGCTGTAGCACATTCGGCACTTTAGCTTTAGGGACAACCATTTGCAAACCACAGCTGTCTCCTCGACCATTGTCCCATTTACGACACAGGACTCCATCCTGAATCAGCAAGCTGTCCCATTGGGGCCAATAGCTTCTAGTGTTCGAACTCATCGCTGAGACGTCGCTCCACTTAGGCTTGGTAGCACGGGCCTTCATCCATTCCAGAATCGGCTTAATGTCCGGATCTTCCTGCTATGCATGTCGTAGGCTGTCCTTCCACTCGTTGCTGAGGTGGTCTGTCCTGAGCATCCTCACGGATACCACTTCCTTACTCTCTTGCCTAGTACAATGTTTCCAATCTTCAGGACAAGGTCTTCTTGACAATGCATCTGCGTTGCCATGAGATTTCCCGCTGCGATGTCTGATAGTAAAGTCGTATCCCGGCTGCTGCTGGGCGGTGATGATAGCCGCACTTCCCTTCTGAGATCGTTCACCTTCCCTTTCTAGGATTCGCTTAGGGCAGCTGGATCGAAGATGGCCTCTTTCCCCACAGCCATAGCACCTAGGGCTGTATTCTTTATTGTGGTCGCGAACCGTAACTGCTGCAACCTCCCTAGCGTGAGGGGAGCGATGATCCTGCCGCCGCCAGGTGGTGCCGTTAGCTGCACTACCCTCTCGAGATCGATCAACTTCCTTTTCTATAGTTCGCTTAGGGCAGCTGGATCTAAGATGGTCCCTTTCCCCACAGCCATAGCACCTAGGGCTGTATGTTTTATTGCGGTCGCGAACCGTAGCTGCTGTAACCTCCCTGACGCGATGGGAGCGAAGATCCTGCCGCATGGCTTCCACCTCCAGTGCATGGGCCAAGGCGTCCTTAAGCGTCTCGTGGTGCCCGAACCTCACAGCAGCTCTGACTTCAAGGTCGCGGATGCCGTCGATGAATGTCTGAACCAGGTTCCTTTCAATGAGCGCAGGTACAGACTGGTATGCTTTTCGAACCATCTACTCCATCTCAAGGGCCCACTGCTGCAGGTTTTCGTTGCTGCGTTGCACGCGATCTTTAACCTGCGCGCGAAAGACGTGTTCCAGGTGAGCGTCGCCATATCTCGCCTCCAACGCCTCAAGGAGCTGCTCGTAGGTCACTTTCTTACCGAGAGCTTCCAACATATTTAAGGCTCGGTCGCGCAGGCCTATGGTGAGTGCAGTCATGGCTTGGCTTTTATTCCAGCCGTTCGCCTCCATGACGGCCTCGAACTGGATTTTGTAAGCTGACCAAGAAGAAGTCCCGTCGAACGGTGGCACTTTGAATCCACGTAGCGAAGGTGTTGTAGCTACTGCGGGAGCTGCAATTCCATCTCCAAGTTTGAGTTCATCCAGCGTTTTCTTAACTTGGTTGATTTGGGTCTCAGCTTCCAACAGGCGGCTATCATGTTGAGCAACCTTACCCTTTACCTCCCTTATCTCTTTCCCGAAGGTAGCTTGAAGGACATTCATCTGCTCTTCCCTATCGCGTTTGAGCTGCTCTTCTAATCGACGGGCCTGTTCTTCCTGCTGCTCTTTCAACTGACGGCCTGTTCCTCCTGTCGGCGGGCCTGCTCCTGCAGCATCACCATCAGAGCACCTAAGTCAGGTGCTGCAGGAGCTACCGACGGACCGGCCTCCGTTGCGGGCGGCTGGCCCTCCGACGTCTGCGGCGTTGCACCACCAAATCGTCTCTGGTCCGTCTCATGCTGGCGTTGACTGCGGGTACGGACACCCTCCGTTTCCTCCTTAGGTAAAATCGGCATGATTTTATCCCACTTCTGACACCAATTGTTACGAGCTTAGGGTTTGTGACATTAAAAATTGCCGATAGAATTACCTAAATTAACACTTTAATTTTCTTTACACCAGTTAAAACTTAAAACACTAATAATTAATCACACTGATTCACTTTATTTCGCTCCGAAGCTTCGCTAATCTCGCCAAACTCAATACTTCCCCGATCGCACCTTACAGCGCCTATAAATACACATTAGCACCGAAACATCCAGAACATTCAAGTAAATACGCCGCAGACGTTGAAAGTTCGAGTGGCGGGCTTCTAGAAGCTTAGTTCTTCGTTTTGATACTAGATGGCACTGTCGGTTATTATATTATATTATTAGTTATTTTAGTTTATATTTTATAGTTTTTATTTGTCTTTCATTATTAAATTTACGTTCTAAAGCGATTTGCTCAAATTTTTTGGAAAAAAAATTGTTTCAACTTCTTATAAACAATATTGTTTTTTATTACTTTCAATAGATTTTTATTACTTTTTAGAAAAGTCTGATCTTTTGTGGGGTAGCGGAGGCCCGTCGCAGAATATAGTTTTATACCGCCAGCCACACGAAACAATATGGACCAATAAACATCAAAAGCAGCAACGTGGCTCTGCCATGTATGAAATATATTGAAGACATTAAGATGTTACTTAATACATCTAAAGTACTGTTAATGTCGAAAGAAATACAAAACAAATAATCAAATAAATTTTAATGTTTCGGTTAAACAAATGTTTAATGTTTCGTGATAACGAATATATAAGTACATCGCAGTATTCGAAATCCATCATCATAATTCTTTTCCATCCTGTTTTGTCCGTAGTAACATCTTTCAGAAATTAACAGGTTCTGTCATCCTTGCGAGATGAATGATTATTATATATCCGCAAACACTAAGGGAACACGAAAGCTTTAAGCGATATGATCAAAGAAAGTTGGAGTGAAATGTCAGTGACAGCCCATTGCTTACTTCATAAATATTTGCCGGGGTTGCATAAAATCATTGATTGAAATGGGAGGATTATAATTTAAATAAAATTTTATTTGTTATGTATCATGTTTTATAAATGTATGTAA